GGTGCTTGCGGCTGGCCTCACGTAGCACGTCAGGTGACCTGTCGTATATGCGCTCACCGGGCACTGCAACGTAACGAAAGTAGCACTGGTAACGTGAGTGAAGCTCGCAAGTTTCACTTACCACTTTGACTAGACAATCCAGGGCCAATGGTCACCAAAAACACGTTCTTCTGTTTGATCAACACTGCTTGATCATCGTTTTCTGCGTTGCCCTGGAAGCGAATAGTCCGTGTGGGACTGCCGATCCATCCTACTTTTTTCACGGGAAAGTTAAAGCTAAAAATGGGCATCATCAGTCGGGAAAAAACAGCAACATGAGTAGCCAACCAATCGCTGAACTTCATTTCGAGATCCTTGCCGGTGCTCTGACGGTATTCTTTACATAGTGTCAGCAACAGTTCAGTTTTGAATACACATTCAATGATACTAGCAAAGTCGTCGTGCACGAAGATAATCATAAAATCGTCCTGCAGATGACTGAGTCCAATAGATTCAATCGTGCGAAAGGCAATAAATCTCTTGATGACATCGCTAGTCGTTATGCCATTATGATGACGCGTGTTTTTGACCTTCAAAATTAGACATAATTACAGCAGTCGCTGTGAAATGTGACAATTCCTCACCTTTCCTTTGCCAACAATGAAAATTCCATTGGAGGTTATAAGCAACTCGCGATCTGATGGCTAAACATAAATCAGATCAAAACTTGGAAGACGTTTCTTTACAGATGATCTTAACAAATTAAAGACAATTTCTACCGAATGCTCCGAAAAACGCCATAGATCATCAAGTGGCTCCTATGCATTGAGAACAAAACAACATATGTGCCCCGTCAATAAAGCAGAAGAAAACGAAAACAGCAAAATCAACACTATGAAAATGAAAACACTACTAACTGAACTAGGTATTTTATAGTGAAGCTGAAAACAGAACAAATTATATAACATAACGTGTAATGGCAGTCGAACGCCTCAAATCTGATTGTCTGAAAACTGAGTACTTTGAAGAATATAGTGCATTATTCAGTTAAACCGTCGTGTCTGATTCGGATTTAAACGTCCAGATCAGATTTACATCGTAATGATCACAGAGAGCACTAATAACGCAAAACTGCTTCCATGCCAGAAAATTATATAGCTGGACGTACAATATTTGCAAAAACCCATCGAAACATTTTTAATAGTACCTGGTTTAATGGTATAATGATTTTCTCATACGGGGTATCGAGACTAGAAAGGATATGTACACGACGTTTAGCTTTGTATATTTAGTGGGGCTAAGGGGCTACTATTCACTGTTACCTGAATTATACAAAGTGTACTACGAGGAAATGAGTCGACAATTGTTCTCCCTTATGCAAATGTAGTAACGGCCATACACATCAACGTAAACAATATTCTCACCCGCAACAATCGGTCGTACTTCTTTACTACACTGGCGAATATGATTCTTTCCTTTTTACCAATCAGCAAACGTAAGTTCGGACGCTGATCCATGCCGAGGTAGTCCGCGTAAAACTGCCGATTAATGGAGAAGCGACGGCGCTCTTTGCGACTGGCCAATAAGTCAGAAGCTACAATATTATCAGTTTACTCAAAAAACGTTAGAGGATGTATTAGGGCGAACCTTGTTTCCTTAGATCGCTGAGGTTTTTTCGCGCGAAATAAGTCCTGTAGGCTTTTTGAATTACGCGCGCGAAAGCGTCGTATCTTCGCTCACGAACTTCTTCAAGTAGGAATAACTGAAATGAGACAGATTTTAAGAAAGTTTCTGATTCCGCAAATTTATGCAGCGATTAATGGACATCATGAAAATGAGAAATCGCTGTTCGCAGTAATAACGACACAAATATACAAGGTTTGGCAATCATTTATTTTGAATTATTTTCAAAGTCATATGATTTACATTCCAGAGGAATATATTTTATGTATTCTGGAAATCATCCATCAAATGTTGCCACAACAGAGGAATGAAAGATGAATGTCGACCGTACTGCAACAAAATTTAAACTCAAAGTATGGTGTATTTTTTAAAAGAAGTTGACAAGGGAAGTCTAAGTACCTGTTTTCGTTTAAAACGTGGCATTATTAATTTAATACATTTAGCCATTTAATTATTAAACAGTTCAGCTCAGATTCAGAGAATGTACAACAATTGTTAAATCCGGAGTAAGATCCGCAACAAACCTGCATCTTAAGATGGCATGGAACTTATGGGCAGGATCGAGTCTGGTGCAGATGTTCTTCCTTTTTTCTGGATGACGAGCTGCTTTGGTACTGGGGATGTACCTTTCCTATATGCAGTGAGCATGTTTTCAATATAAAGTCGAAAGAATGGCAAATTGATCACAGTTCATTTACGCTGAAAATTAGTTCTGTGGTCATCACGTTTCATGGGGGTTACTCCGTATAAAGATTTTATTACAGAACTATCAACGTTTCGAGCCATACTTGGCTTCTTGCCAAGTTACTTTAACAACGGGCCAAGTCAGTAATTTCTGTAATCAAATCCATACCGCGTGCAATGCTGTAGGGATCATAAGGACCATTGAAAAGGATGAAAGTTTAAAACAGCATGGTGATGAGTTTGAAACGA